TAGGCTCACTTCAGAGGGACACCCAGACAAGCCCACACGCCACAACAATCTTGGGGCTTCACTGTTCAGGCGCTTTGATCGACTTGGTGATCTTGATGATCTCAACCAGTCTGTGTTGAGGTTTGAAGCAGCTCTCATGCTCACTCCAGATGGACACCCACACAAGCCCATATTGTACGACAATCTTGGAACTTCACTGGCCTATCGCTTTAAGCGACTTGGTGATCTTGATGGTCTCAATCGGGCTGTATCAAGCCAGGAAGCTTCTATTAGGCTCACTGCAGATGACGACCCATCTAAGCCCAGATACTACAACAATCTCGGACATTCACTGCACTGCCGCTTTGAACTGCTCGGTGATCTCACTGACATCAACCAGTCTGTATCAAGCACTGAAGCTGCTGTTAGGCTCACTCCAGAGGACCATCCAGATAAGCCTGTACGGTACATCAATCTAGCAAATGCACTGGGCAGTCGCTTCGAGCGACATGGTGATCTCGATGACATCAACCAGTCTGTATTGAGGCTTGAAACTGCTCTTATGCTTGCTCCAGATAACCACCCAACTAATTCTCTACTGCTGTTTCATCTCGGTTTGTCACATAGCATCCGCTTTGAGCGGCTGCACAACCTTAAAGATTCTCAGCAGCTGCTTCTCCACTTCACTCGTGCTGCATGCTCATCCACAGGCGTTGTTCATATACGATTTCAGGCTGCCACACTGTGGGCAAAGCATGCTCAAATCCACCATCACCCATCTATACTCCATGCATATACGACAGCAATTGACCTTCTGCCTGAATTAGCATGGCTAGGGTTGTCTATGAGTGATCGGTATCATCACATCTTGCAAGCAGGCCAAGTTGTTAGGGATGCTGCTTCCGCTGCAATTGTACGACATGACTACCAGAAAGCTGTGGAGTGGCTTGATCAGGGCCGTTCTGTTATCTGGGCACAGTTGCTCACCTTGCGTACACCAGTAGATGATCTGAAGGAGAGCCATCCTGACCTTGCTGCACAACTCATCTCTCTCTCCACCTCTTTAGAAACTGGTGGCACTCAGAGTGGTACAGCTGATGGTATACAATCGCAATCACCCCAATCCATTGCAGAGAACTCTCATGCCCTTGCTCTTGAAAGAAATCATCTCTTGCAGCGGATCAGAGAGTTGCCAGAGTTTGAGAGGTTCCTCTTACCAAAGTCATTTTTTGAGCTCTCACTGGCTGCAAAAATGGGGCCTGTTGCCATGTTAAATATCAGTCAATATGGGTGTGATGCCCTAATACTCATGCCAGGCCTTGCAGATGAACCCATCCATGTCCCACTCCCTGATATCACCCTAAATGATGCACAGTCCTTGGCCAAATCTTTGGCATCAATTGTGGGAGGTCCTGGGCGCAGTGATAGGTTGGATGGGTTCCATGAAGGAGATATGCCTCCAGATGACATCTTTTCACACATTCTCTCTGAGCTCTGGTTCAAAATTGTTCAGCCTGTCTTGATTGGAATTGCAGTTACAGTAAGCTATTTACATCATACCACCCAATTCCCATCCTTATGATTTGCGTAGACTCCAGCAAGCCAAGATTTGGGACGTATCTGGTGGTGTCCAACTGGGCCACTCGCATTCCTTCCTATCCATGCAGCAGGACTCTATCATAAAGACGAAACTTTTGGCTCTAAATTATCTGACTTCCTGATTTCTTCCTATACACCATCGTTGACTGCCTTGATCCAAGGATTCCGCCGTCAATCTGAATCCCAGGAAGAGTTTAAACTCCTTACTGTCACTCAACCGTCAGCCCAGGGACAATGTTACATCCCAGGAACTCAGGAGGAAATCAAATGTATTCGGCAGCATGCCACTGGAAGGGTTCCTGTCCTGTGGTTGGATGAACATATGGCAACAATAGACAATGTTCAGAAGGGCATGACCGATTCCAGTTGGGTCCATTTTGCCTGCCATGGTGTGCAAAGGGCCTCTTCTCCAACTGACAGTGCTCTCCTGCTTGCTGGAAGTTCACGGTTGACCCTCTCAAACATCATCCAGTTATCTCTCCCACAAGCTGATCTGGCATTCCTCTCTGCATGTCAAACCGCCACTGGTTCCAAAGACTTTGAAGACGAATCAGTTCATCTTGCCGCTGGCATGTTATTTGCAGGATACCGTAGTGTCATAGGAACAATGTGGTCCATCATGGACAATGATGCTCCACAAGTTGCTAGCAATGTTTATGCCCATCTATTTGAGGCATCACCTCCGGATTCAACGAGAGCAGCTGAAGCGCTGCATCTCGCTGTTGAGAAACTTCGGGAGCAGCCTGGAGTGAAGAAATCATTTTTGCACTGGGTGCCATTCATACACTTTGGGGTTTAATCGAGTACATAATGAACTTCTAGGACATAGCCGAGTGGGCACGGTAGCTGTTTGCTAGCTGTCTTGTTTCTGTATGTAGGACCCCCCAGTTACTGATTCATGAATCAGATAATAATTCCAAGTTCCTGGATCTCTCCCTGATTCCAAGAAAGAAACAAAAAATGAACACTGGGGAGGGACCCCTCATTTCACTTTTCGGGAAAAGTCTTCTAACACCTCAAGAACACGTTGAAACACATGGAGAAAAATAAATTATAAAAACAAAACAAAAAATTCATCATGTTGGGAGTTCGCAGTGGGGGTATTAATCAGGTTTTTGTGAATAAAATAATGGGCTGATGGCGAATTTACAGGGTGCACAATAGATTTTAAATTACACATGGGGACAAAGCAAATCCATTGTGATATTTTAAGTTTACCTTTGCCTTTGTTGGCACAGCAAATGCTTTACCATATTTGACATTAGGTGGACACGTAAACACTTTGAAAGACTTAAGGTACGTCGCATAATTTGATGCTAGTATATACTTTACATATTGGGCTTATTTTTACCTCCGAAAATTCTGTATTATATACTTTGAACATATAAATACACATATTGGCCCGGTAAATTCCTGAAACGGCGGAGTGTGAGCAGGTCAGTAGATTTTGTGACTTGGTGATTTGGCCGTGCCACCATGTCACACATAGTGGAATTACCTGTGGACTAGTTGCGACTCAGCACTGCCTCACAATGGATGATTGGAACGACTTACTAGAGTCTGATGATCCGTTTGGGCCATTGTCGTCGTCCTGGAGCTTATTGGAAGCTCAGGATGTGTTCATCTTGAGCAAGGGGGTGTCGGCTTTCGAGAAAAAATATGGGGTAGGGGGGGGGGGGGGTCTGGCGAGGGTGAAAAAAACTTTTATACCCATATTTCAAATGTCGTCAAAGTGCTGAAAAACACCTTTGGTGCATGGGGAGAATATTTTTCTCAATATACTGCCCTTGAGGCTGCTCCTAGTCCTCTTCCCAAGAACATCCACCCCTCATATTAATGAAATGCACTCGCCGCCCACATTTGGCGGCCATCACGTCAACAATTGTGGCTGTTCAGGATGTCGTTGTTTGGCCTGTCGGTCGCCGACTGATGTGATCACATCTAATGGCGTGCCAGTTATGGCCTCGTTCGGCGGCCTATGGTCGCCTGTTTTCGGCATAGGCTAGAGGAGGGCATATTATGAATTAACACAGGCGCGCGGAGCGCGCGAGATTTTTTTTTGGCGGGGTAGGGGGGGGGGGGGGGGGGGGGTCCAGCGGGGGTCGAAGAAAACTTTTCGACCCCATATGCTTATTTCGAATGCCGACACCCCCTTGATCTTGAGTATATAGAATTCCCGACACCGCGACATGGCGAGTAAATATCAAAGAATCCAACAAAACCCGCACGTAGCTCCGTAACCGTGCAATGCTGGTCTTGACCTAAACCACCTGCTTCTTGATCGGTGCTTCCGAATCCCGGGTCTAAATGACCGTGTAGTACTTGTTCTGCGTAACGCAGCAATTATCAATTGTTTCGTAAAGGTCGATGTGATTGATGGGAGAAACCATGGATGCATTACAGTATCGCCGCAACCCAAGAATGATCCGCGAGAATCGCTAATCGCTTCAGAAGATGTGAGCGAACACCTGAGTTCCATTATATTTGCGGGGTCCATGCTTCTCTCACTCGCAGGCGGCTTGCACAATTCTCCATCGGCGGTGATCGTATGCCAATGGGGTTATGGATGTGCCGGCGTGATAATCATTCAACGGAAGCCTGGAATGTGCGGGAGAAGCGGGGAAGATCGGCCCCAGCGTGGAACCTCTTGCAACGGACTCCTTTCATTCCCAAGCTCTGTTCTCCCACTCCTTCGTCTGAAATGCTTCTCAGTCCGTCTTTCCAGCATATCCTGATCAGACATCCGCAAGCCGGGCCTTGAACGTGAACCCCGGCACGTCAGATCATGATTGGAGTTTGAAAGGCTTCAGACGGGCTTACTTTGTGGATCCTATTCAAAACATGGTTATCATTTCGTGTCGATGTGTTCAAAAAATCGTCGGCAACCGCGGCATCATCTTACGTCATCGTTATTAGCACTTGCGATGCCTCAGGCTCAAATTTGGTTCCCCTGCAGTTGCCCCCAGGTATCTATCGCCAGCCAGCCTTGGCCTAGCAAAGCAGGCATTTTGTGCATTCCACAACTTTGACATTCCGGCCCGGCTTCCTGTAAGGATTCTGTCAGTTTCCGTGTCGCTCTCCGTGAATACCCGACACCTTGACAACGATGTCACCATTATCAAACCATGGTACCACCTAACGACCGGACACTCATTTTATTCCCAGACCTTGTATATATTACGACTATCCAGGAGCTGAATCCAGACATTACGCCAGTTCTTGCTGCGTGAACGTGTTGGCGGACTGCTGATTGTCTCCGTTACACTTCCATGCTCCAGTCTCAGTGAAGGCCTTTCAATCGTGAGCGGGGCTGCGGGAGTCATTCGAGTCACTGGCACTGGGCGACCGGGCGCCTGCCGGCTTGTGCTAGAGGTGTGTTGAGTGTAGACCACAAGCATGCTCCACTAGATATCCAGTGTGTTGCTTTGGTGGGGTAGTGGTAACCTTGGTCATCGCTGTGATGGTGCTTTAGAAAAGATTTCTGTGTGACCGGCCGGGGGTTCGATTCCCTCCCAAGGCAGTAATAACACTGCATCTTTAATCGCATTTTTGTACAGAATAAGATTGAAACACGTACATACGCAACTGGATTGTTGACTTGTTCGGGAGAATGGATCCGACCTCCGTCCAGGGCCCTACCAAACCGGACGCAGTAAGTAGGGAGTACCGCAGCGGAGGACCCGAATAAAATAAACCATTTCAAAACGCACCCGGCCGGATTAATATTGTCGGCGGTGATGCTGCCCGTCTTGTCGTGCGTCGACAAAATGCGCATGACTGCGAGCGTAAGCTTGTCGCGTCTGGTCCCGCTTTCTGATCACTCAGATCTAGCACTTGCCCGGCCATTCAAACGCTCTCGACCGCGTCCAACACGCCCACCTCCGTCATCGTTCTCGGCGACCATCCCGGCGTGGCCCGCGCGTCCCGCCTTCCGGGAGAACTTTCCGTGCCCCGCGCACCATCTTGAACAAGCCCGATCGTCCATCTCCGCTGATTAAGTACTTCTGCCAGTGGTCCCCGCACGGCGCGTTCGACATGCCTCACCAACTCCTCAAAGGCGCGGACGAACGACGTCCAACCCTTCACGCCCCAGATCTCCGTGGAGAAGCTCGCGACGTTCGATGCAGACCTCGACTTTCTCGTGCTCGCGGCGCACGACCTCGGCGTGCGTGCGTTCTTCCCCGTTGCGTTCGACGGCTGTAAGACAAGCCGCGCGGCTTGAAGGAGCAAAGAGTTTCGTGGACAAGGAGAATCCTGTGTTTGCGTTCAGTCCGATGTGAGCGGCGAGTACAATGGAACGTGGATTGACCTCATGAAGTTTCGCAGGAACGCAACCGCAACGACGTAGGAGTGCGGTCGCCGGAGGAATTGTAAGGACACGAGCGGCGTAGTCAATGCCGCTGGGAAAACAGACAACCCCTTAGTGGATTAGTGGGGCACGATGAAAGACGATGAAGATCTTAAGGGAACCGAATTTGAATCAACGCAGGTCGTGGAATACGAGACATGCAAACTCAACTGGTCCCTGCTCGCATTCTGATATCTATGTGCTGCGTAAGTGTAGACCACAAGCATGCTCCATTAGATAGCCAGTGTGTTGCTTTGGTGGGGTAGTGGTAACCTTGGTCATCATTGTGAATGCAATCTCGAGAAAATTTCTGCGTGACCCTCCGGGGGTTCGACTCCCAAGGCAGTAAGTCAACCGCATTTTTGTACAGAATAAGATTGAAACACATGCGCAACTGGATTGTTGACTTGTTCGGGAGAATGGATCCGACCTCCGTCCAGGGCGGCAGTAAGTAGGGAGTACCGCAGCGGAGGACCCGAAAATAAACCATTTCAAAACGCACCCGGCCAGATTAATATTGTCGGCGGTGATGCTGCCCGCCTTGTCGTGCGTCGACAAAATGCGCATGACTGCGAGCGTAAGCTTGTCGTGTCTGGTGCTTTCTGATCCCTACCTGCCCGTCCATTCAAACGCTCTCGACCGCGTCCAACACGCCCACCTCCGTCATCGTTCTCGGCGCCCAGCCTTCCGGGAGAACTTCCCGTGCCCCGCGCACCATCTTGAACAAGCTCGATCGTCCATCTCCGCTGATTATTATGTACTTCTGGTCCCCGCACGGCGCGTTCGACATGCCTCAGCAACTACTCAAAGGCGCGGACGTCGCCGACGCCAACGACGCCCTCCCCGTCACGTCCCAGGTCTCCGTGGAGAAGCTCGCGACGTTCGATGCAGACCTCGACTTTCTCGTGCTTGCGGCGCACGATCTCGGCGTGCGTGCGTTCTTCCCGGTTGCGTTCGACGGCTGTAAGACAAACGGCTTGAAGGAGCAAATGGTCTAGAGTTTCGTGGACAAGGAGAACCCTGCGTTTGTGTTCAGTCCGATGTGAGCGGCGAGTACAATGGAATGTGGACTGACCTCATGAATTTTCGCAGGAACGCAACCGCAACAGCCTAGGTGTCGCGAGTCGGGTCGCCGGAGGAATTGTGAAGTACTGGACGCGAGCGGGAGACGCCGTAGTCAAACGGATTCAAGTATACAGCCACATACATCAAGCCGTGTCAATGTCAAACAGCGCGGTATCAATTGCACCGTTGACGTTCCTCCGTTGCCGCTGGGAAAACAGACAACCCATTAGTGGCACGATGAACAGATCTAAGGGAACCGAATTTGAATTGACGCAGGTCGTGGAACACAAGACGTGCAAACTCAACTGGTCCCTGTCCGCATTGTAATTTCTGCGCTACGGTCATTCAGACAAATGCGCACCCAAGATGTGGGGAGAGCCTTTCGAGAGCTTCAAGTTCCTGTTTTAGCCGGGGTGATTTTGGAGGAGCTTGTTGCTGCAATATAAATTCTCAAGGCATGCTATAACGACTTAGTGCACACAAAGGTGGAAGAAATAAATATGATTTTATTCAGGCATTTGGATGTCCATGCTGTAATTAACGTGGGGGACGCCGTTTTCACCGGGTCGTTCGTGTGATCGCTGGAACGACTCGGGGGTCAAGTCCGCAGCGCACTCCATGGTGCAAGCAGATACGTGGGTATGTTAGGATAGATAAAAAAAGAAAGCGTCACAGCGACAACGAACGGAATAACAATACGGTCCATAACCCAAGATCCACTGCGAAACGTCCAAGCCTGCATGGTCAAGCCCTCTTCGTCGGCTTCGCCTTGCGCGCCTTCTTTTTTCCCGCGCGCCTCTTGATGGGCCGTATAGTCGCCGTAGGTGTGGGGGTAGGCGGGGCGCTCGACGCGGGCGCCGCGCCGCGCACGCGCACGCGGCCGTCCTTGAGCGCCTCAGTGATGATCGGGCTCGCGGCGGGGCGGTATTTGTATTCCTTCGAGTACCTGCGCCCGGCTTCAGCGTCAGCGAGCTGCACGGATGTCGATGGCCAGCTAGGACGCACCTGCTGGCGTACACGACCTTGGGCTTGGACTTGTAGCCCTTCATCTGGTAGGCGAGCCAGAAAAGCATGGCGATCATGAGCAGGAGCGCGGCGCGCTTCCATGGCGAAGGCGGCGGCGGGTTGAACCGCGCGTCGACGGGCGGCGGGAAGGCGCTGGATGGCTCGTCGTCACGCTCTCGAGGCGGCCGGTCAACGGCAGTTTCCGAGTCGAGCTCCTCGTCATCCGACTCTTGGTTCTTTGAAGAGAGGAGCGCCTCGTTTTCGTCAGCGGATGCGCTTGTCGGATCTTTGGCCATGAAGGTAAGTTACTAGGTAGGGATGAAAGTGCACGTGATCGTCCTTGCAAACATACAGCGACACACAAACACCGCGATCGTCGACGCCGACTCGATCATCCTGACCAAGGCTCCAACCGTTTAGTTTTCGTTTACGGTTGGTCGTAAACAAAACGGTAAACGGTACTAAACGTTTACAAATGTTTATAAACGTGTTAGCGTGGTACATTCGCTATGTAGTATCAGCGTTTGATCAGCGTAGTCAAGGGGTACCCGCCGGAGAATGCCGAGACACCGGGTAGGTGGGTGGGTGCCCCGGCCGACCTCTTATCATACTTTTTGGACAAAGCTGCGGAACAAAAAAAACGTGTTTGCAAGGGTCAGGGAAAATATATATATATTTAGCACCAGAAAAGTGGTAATTTTCGGAGGATTAGAAAGACGTTTAAAATTTCTGCCTAGTATTGTATATGGCGACACTAACGGCAGTTCAAGCTCCATTGGGCTAAGCACAGCTCCGGTAAATGGATGGGTCTGCAGTGGTCCCCACCAGAGTTAAATTCGAAGGTTTATACGGCCGTACCGTACCCGTAGTCAACTGTCGGGCCGGCGGTACGGTACGGCTGACACCGTATCGGCACTGTAAATGTACGGCCGTAGCCGTATACGGTACGGTGCCGATCCCTACCAGTGATCGGCACATCGTCGTCGGCGTGCACCCTGCTGCACTCACCTTTTCCGTAAGACAGCCGCTGCTTCCGGGTCAAGCTGAGTCACTGTCGTTGTTCATGGAGACCATGCATTGGGGCTCGTTCGACCGTAGACAGTAACACAGGCGTGCAAAACACTGCGACAGCATCCGAAAGCCGTCCTTCTCAGCCGCATCAGGAAAAAAACACCCACCGACATACCAGTAGGTAGACAACATACCTTGGATACCTTCATAGCTAGGTCCCCGATATATTCTGCCCCAGTAGTGCCAGGCATCCGGTATAAACTGGTACAGATGATCAGATAGCACTGCCATTGGCTCCCATACCAATCTGTAGCACGGTAGCTCCGTAGCATTATACCAGTCCATAATGGTTTATACACTTATAGCTGGCCAGTGTGCCCACAAAGGAATATAAAATAAAATAATCATATCTAGATTGAAACAATACAAAAGTAGCTTAGTACATCTATCCATCTCGCCGTCGCTCTCGAAGTGCTGAGGAGACAAATGGCGCACAACTTTGCGCCTCCGCGCGTGCCCCCACCCCCGCTCCCACTGGCGCCGACATCGCCATTGCCACCGCGCGCGGCGCTCGGCAGCGTAAAGAGGCTGCCTACCCTGTGCGCTGGCAGCGCCGCGACGAAATCCGCGGTGCCAGTCCAGCTAGAGAGCGTCGAGAAGCGCGAGATCGCGCCGGGCGCGGGGCGGAATCCCGTGTCTGCGTCCACCACGGGGGGGAGAGCGGTAGTGGCTTTGTGTACGGGTTTGCGCGCGCGGCCTCGGCGTGCGCGAGGTACGGCGATGCGAGTGACGGCGGCGGTGACGGTGACGGTGACGGCGGCGGAAGCATACTCCTGTTTAAAAGCTAAGCAAGATTGTAAGCAAGCGTGCAGACAAAGCATCTTCAATGGTGTGCGAGAGGTGCTTTACGAGCTTGCGGTTAGTCTCCCGCTCCTGCGCAGTGCAACGACGCCCCGGAATGATCAGATTTTGACTTAAACAGGGACATGTCTTGAATGTGAAGTCTACATGTCTTGACTCTTGAAGCCGAAGTCTTGAGACGTGAGTACACGATATTGCGACCATTGAACCGGGCAGCAAGCAAGAGGTGA